ATGAACCACATATACACGGGTTTGACAGGCTCACTGTGCATGAACAAAATAGTTGTACACCTCGTAGCCCAAACAAGTGGGATAGATCTATCAGAGGCTACACATGTCCTGCAGGATTCTATTAGCACTTGCAGGAAAATGAGACAATTTCTTTTGTCCTCTAATATTTAAACTATTAGCTTCTGTTATATTGATAGATGTCTTATCCAGACAAATGAGGAAAGACAGATTAAATTGTAAATTTCTTCAAAGAGGTTTAGAAAAGATAAATAGAAAAAAAATTATTAACATAAAGACAGAACATCCAAATCCATAAGAAAAAAAAATATTATAATGAATAGATTATTGCATATCTTGGCAATAAAACCAGAAAGAACTAGATGATGAAATTTCATCATGTCAGGAATCCTGAAATTCTCTGTTTCTTTGTCTTTCTACCAAAAACTCTCTTTATATCATTGAAACAACACTTTTAGGAAACTGAGTTATTCACATAAAATGAGGAAAATACTAATTCATGATAGATAAAATCAAAGTAACTTTAAAATAATCCACATTTAGACATCAAAAGCTGTACCTACAGTAAGCCATTTGAAACATATCTTAAAACGACAAGAAGAGAATATGCAAATGCTGGACTACATGTAATAAGCAAATTTAAAGGTGAGAAGTCAGAATTCAGTTTTATGAGAATTGGCCCAAGACCCACAAGTGAATAGCACCAGTAAAAGAAATAGTCTCTTAGGAAATAAAGGTTGTCTTCCTTTCTCTATGGATATAGCTTATTTGTTCAAATGGAGCTGAACAAGTAAATAAGTAAGGAGAATCTCATTAAACTGAGTAGCTAATACAAAAAACACATGAAGCATCACAAGCAGCCCAACTTTGTTCAGGCTTCATTCAAACTGAGAGTTTTAGGAATTCTGACAGAACAAGCTCAATTTAACTATCACTTACTAAAATTCCAGTCTGATCAGTTATATTTGACTACATGTACTAACACAACTGAGTTAGAACTTGAAGGAGACTTTACCTACTTGGTCTCCTACCACATCATCATTTTTGATCCCATGTACTGTTAGTATACTGCACAGAGGCATGTATCTTTAACCTGAAAGTGTATTATTTTCTCAAAGTCTTCACTAACTAGCAATTCATGAGTTAAAAACTTAGTAAGTCTTGTCTGGACAATACAGGAAAAAAAAGATCAAGCAATTAAAAACCTGAGTTACATTCTGTTTACTTCTTCTCTGCATACAAGTAACTTTTCAACAAACCCTTCTTTTCAGAGACTCACCATGGGAAAATTTGAAAACAAGAAATATATTTGCAAAATGCTAGAGCAGAAGTACAAGCCTTAGCTAAGGTGCACAGCTAAAAGAGTACACAAATCCCTGAAATACTGTTAAGTGTGCCATTTTCAGGACTGAAGGTAGTAGAGGTGGGTGGCACAGTGGCACTGAACCTAATACTGTTTCTTAGAGTTCAGTTACTATCCCTCCAGAGTATTGCACTGTGCCAGGGAGATAAACCATTTCCATTAAAATGGTCTTCAGCTTTAGTAATATTACACTGAATTGAATAGTTGAGACATATCCCAAGAGAGTTTAAAATAGATTTTATAGAGCAATGGGATCTCATAAGGGACAAGTGGTAGGGTCACAACAAACTGCAGGTTTCTCATCGCAAAATTAATCATAATTAATTGAAGAAAGGATAAATTTTCAGAAAAGTGAGTGAAAAGTTGGGGGAAAATTGAATTCCCAGCCAGGTCTTGGGATAGCGTATATTTTTTATATAAGAAGGGAATAATTAGGGCCAGGTTAAGAGAGAACTAGAAGAAAAATGAAAAAAACAAGTTTTGAGTCTACTCTGAGGAATCCCTTAACTGTCCATGATCCACCCTTTGTGTATGAGATTGTTCCTGTCTCACACTTCCCAGCTACGGTACTTTCACCCTGTGGGCTGTCAGTGCAGCATCACAGCCTCCCTCCTCTTCAGGGACCCCATGAAGCACGTGTAGCTGACAGGGGCCCCCACAAGATGCACTCAGTCTGTGAGGAGAGGGCACTGCGCTGTGCTAAACCTCACATTCACACAAACATCTTCAAAACCTGTCACATGCTAAAGCCTATATATATGCTGGCACACACTCCTAGAAAGAAAAGGACAAAGATGTAGAATGATCCCCACCTCTCCCTTCAAACTTCAGAATTCTCTTTTTCCCCCTCTCTGCCACCAGCTGTCCTCACCAGACTGGTGGGAGGAAAGAATCTTTGGGTTTTTCTGCTGCTAGTTCACAGAATCAATTAGGTTGGAAAAGACCTCTGAGATCACTGAGTCCAACCTATGACCGAACACCATGATGTTGACTAGACCATAGCACTAAATGCCACATACAGTCTTCCCTTAAACACCTCCAGAGATGGTTTGATTTTACCAGACACCTCCACCACCTCCCTGGACAGTCCATTCCAATGTCTAATCACCCCTTCTGTTAAGAAATTCTTCCAAATGTCCAACCTAAACCTTCCCTGGTGCAGCTTAAGACTATATCCTCTTGTCCTGCTTAGACAGAAACACAGTGTCTCTCCTCACAGCTAGTAAACCATTACATGTACAACTCTTCAGGAAAGATAAGGTTATAAATTAAAATAAAAATGATGGTTGAAAGGCCAGACTTCCCTGGCAGTTTCATCCCAGCTGCCAAAGCCCACCTATAGCAAAGCAGGCTGCTGAAGAGTTTCGCATTCTGCCTCTCACTGGCACTTTCCTGTGCTGGATTTGCTGGACATGAAAAGGGAAAGGAGTGACAGTTGTTTTGGAAATTTGTATTATCCCTGGCTTAGATCTGTTCAAAATCTATTTATTTTGCTAGAAAAATGCAAAGAGGCCCTGGCAGCCAACAGAAAATTAATTATTTTGCATACATTGTGTAACACTACTCATTAGTTTTACATGAGTGATGAGAGGTCAGTCAGGAATAGAATCCCATTGTGCTAACCTTCAAAGAGCTTGCCATTTAATTGAATGGAATAAAGGAATTAAATGTGCCGGCAGAATTAAAGCTAGTGGTTAGCAAACAGCACATTGCAAATATCTACAACTTCTTTGTCTAAATTTTTCAGTTGAGATCTTGGGGGAAGGTGATCAGATAAGCAACAAAAACAAAACCAAAGAAGAATACTGAGGGGATGTGGACTAAACACATGGTATCTGAATGCTATGGTGTATCCAACTTCTCGTGTATTAGCACACAGACTTACAACATACATTATGCACTAGTCTACATGTGCCTTTCTGCTGTTGCTTTCTGTATAGAAAGCACACCACATGTAGGGCCACATGAGAGACATTTTAGAAAATGTGGTAAAGTTCTGACCATATATATCACACAGCTAGTTTTTGTTCTGTAAAACGATGAGAATGCTGGGAGTCAGTAAATGATATGATTTAAATTTGAAAATAGCTCCCCAGAATCTGCCGAATCCATTCAGAGTTAATAGCAGGAGAACATCACCATTCAGTGTTCTGGGTCCATCTGTTGGCAATATCATGATGGAAACAGCTTTTTAAATGCTATTTTCAATAAGCTATCACACAACAGCTTGTTCCAACAATATTCCAATACCTTTCTGTTTGTTTGCTATAAAAAACAGCTTAGAGGGAAGGAGACATTTCAGTACTATACTGATGTAGGGTGGGAGGGACAGAGACACTACAGGAACAAGCAAAGTGAGAAACAACTATAAAAAGAAAAAAGGAGAAGAAACTGTTATTTTAGACCTCCTGCAATCTAGATTTAAACCAGGATGTGGAACCCAAACTATGGTAGTGTCAAGAGAAGGACAGCCTGCACCCACCAGTCACTAGAATTATTGTGCAGTGACAATGTCAGCCACTGGAAACCCAAGGGCTCCTAGACACAAATGGTTAGTAAACCTAGTGATAACCTTCAGTTTTGCAAGACTTGCTGAACTGTGTGCTCCAATGAGTATGGAAAGGAAGATTCACCTCCAACATTGTAACACACTCAGTTGTGTGGTACCAAAACAATCTGTCCAACATAATTCTTCTAAAAATATCATCTATCCATCAGCTTACTTCTCAAATAAAACAAATGCCAGCGACATGCTGATGATACATCACCAGCATCAGAGTGGCTCAGTTGCAGCTCAGCAATAAAGAACAGATGGTTGCATTTGAAACCAATAATTGGTAGGAGAGGAATAGAAGTTCTTTTGGTTCACACCAAAAAGTTTCACAATTATTCAATTAATCATGCAGTTGTCACAACTAGCTTTGGCACACCTAATGTCACAGTTTTTTAAACAAGGAACTAGATCATCCCAAGGGTTTCTTCTGATATATGTTATCCCACGATCCTGTGATTCTAAAATAAACTGCTCTGTGCTGATTACCTCTATACTACCAACTCCAGTTCTAAGATGTATTTCTTGTAAAGTTTTTATTTTTAAAGGCTGCACTCCTTCAAGAATCATAAGGAGCACTCAAGTTTCCCATGAATTGTGCATCTTGGATAGTTGGGAAGGATGAAAGTTGAGAAAAAATACTATATGGGAAGGTAAACCAAAGAAGTTATGAAATATTATAAGTTCATGTAAATGGAGAGGCAGAAAGAGGAAAGTAAACCTGAAAAAGCAATATGGAATTAATAGTGATAAAATCAGAACATATACTGGAAAGAAAACTAACAGTACGTAAAATTACAAAATATTGCATACGGACTTCATCATTAGTGGTACAAGAAAAATGTACTGATAGCTCCGTGTACATTTGGGCTCACTCATAAAATATTTTATCTTCTCCTACTATCAAGATTGCTTCTTAAATACAAAAAATATTTTGTGTTCTGTTTATCTGTCTTTGACCTACTCACATGTGTAAAGTGATAACACTCTCTTAGAACGCATGCATCGTAGCCTGCTGTTGAAGCAAAAATTACAACTAATGAGAGGCTGCTTATGGCAAGCACCTACCTGAGGACGTATAACTTTCACTATGTTTTTAAGTGCAGTGTCTGGTGATGGAGGAGAGCAGTCAGGTGTTGGGCCTGTAGAGCTGTTTCTATGGTTACCGGATCCTGGTGTGGTAATTGCTACCTGAGGTGCATTATCTGCGAACAAAAATATAATTTACGTGAATTTACAAATGCTTCATACATTTTAAAATAGAAAAACAATTTTGAAAACAGAACGCTCTTTCAACTTACAAAGCCTATTACAATTTAAATATATTTGCTGAGGAATATATCGCATATCTACACTTATTTTGTCAGCGCATACATTTATTCTATGTTAAGGCAAGACACACCATTCTCTCAGTACTTAAACAAAATGAAGTGGAAACTAAGCACAAATATTTTACTTCCATTATCTTGCATTAGCGACTGTGAATCCAAATACTACCACTATAACAGGGGTGACTTGAAAGGGAGATTCATAACACAACTCCTACCTCATCCTGGAAAATCCTAACACATACAACCCAGTCCAACATGTTATATAAACACATATTCAAATCAGAGCATGCTACTAGACGTCATCAACTGCTTTCCTGAACATTGTGATCAGTGTAACTGACCAGTAAACATTAATTACATAAAAATGTACTCAGTTTCTCAATTAAAATGTGCATCCTCCCCAGAGCTCTGCATGGCACTAGCTACCTTTCCAGCAGTATCTCAGTTAGATAATCTACACATGGCTTAAAAATATCTACACATGTGCACTTATATGGGAAAGTGCTGTTTGGTCATATTTTGCTCTTACCACTTTTATGGCACTGTGAAGGACCATTGAAAGGACTTAAAATATTCTTACTTTCTCTAAATGTTCTTAGTTTTTTGATCAAAGTAAAGTTAGTGAAAATCAGATCAGAGTATAGAGAGGACTATAAAATAGGTTCCCAGCTGTGATAGTAGCCGAGCACTAGAATGACTTAGCAGGAGGCCAAAAACTCCACATTACTTCACACCTTTAGAATTGTATCAGTAAAGAAATGCTTTAGTTCAGATTCTGGGAAAAATGTCATTGCCTGTGCACGGCTATCTATCTTCATCGTGTCTGTGAATTCATAGATTACCTTTCTTTGTGAGTCACAAAGACATGTGCTCCATGCTCCTAAATGTGCTGTTACAGCTGCAGCTCTGCTTTAAGACAATGATTACATTCAAATCTTATGTGTGTGGGCCTCAACTGACAACCTGTAGAGTTCACAGAAGAAAACCATTTACTTGTGATTGCAGTGGTTCTCCAACATGTGCTTCCACTCTATGGATAAATCATCTCCGGAAAAACCCGAACACCAACAAGCAAAAGCAATTCTCTTAAGCTGGAGAATTTTTGCCTGACCAACTTCTGCAGGTACACACATAAACTCCTCCATCTGCACAAGTCAGAAACACCGCTGTGAAAGCCATGACAGAAGCTTCTCCCTACTGACCTGAAAGAATTCTTGGAAGTGTAACAGAGAGATCAAAGGGAAGGAAATGCCCAGTTACATTAACATAGGATAAAGAGGAATAGTTGCAAGAGCTGAGACTTCATGGTCTTTCACACTTACAGTGAAAGCATGGATGATACTAAGATATACTTCCTGCAGAAACACTACGTAACTGGATGAGGTCTTTAAGTTTCTAATCAAATACAGACTGACAAATTATTCTTCTAAAATAACATCAGGCTGGAATGTTTCAGCAATACCATTACACTTAACAAAAGTGTAAACAAAAGTTCAGATGGCAGTTTGGCACACATCAAGAATGGACACATCCTGTAGATAACCTCAGGTGTTACCTGACATCTGACAGTCACCCTCCCTCCCTGTCACAGAAACAGACAAGTCCAACTCTTTTGAAAAGTATCTTATTGAAATTGCCAGTCCTTTAGGTATGCAGTCTTAACACACAGGTCAGTTAGTTCTTCCTGAATCATCGCAAATGTGCACAGAAATCTTGAATCTGAAGTAATTTATTTCAGAAATTAATAAGTATGTGTTAATACAATGAATCAAAAGAATTTTTACACAGCCTTAGAAATGAACTTACTGTGAATCCTCACAATAACATACCTGATGTGGAAGATTTTTGATAGCATTTCAGAAAGCCTTAAGTCCCTCTTATGCTTTCCTGTCTGACCTGGTCTCTAACTTTAAACCTGTTCATGTGCACCATATAAATGAGTATACTGTGATTTGAAAGCTCAGTTCATCAAAGGAGGGACAGGGATTTGACAAGAAGAGACCCCATGAAAGCCTTGCCATACTCTGAAAATCTCATAGTGAGGATGAAGGCTAGATATGAGGGTTAGTACCACCTTAGCTGAGCTGAAAGTCTCAGCCTCTTTTGCTCCAGAATATGAAATAGCATCTTCTTTCACTCTGTGGACAGACTCATCAATAGATAATCATCCATGAACCTCCTGACTGAGGAATCAGGGAGTTCCTTTAAGAGAGCCCTGCAGTGTGCTTGGTCAAAAGGACGATACCGCTGTCAAGAAATGTGGGAATACAGGCACCACCTGGAAGGTTAAGAAGTACATTCTAGAGTGAGAAATGCTCCACATGAGTCTAGCTAAGTGCACTTACTGCACTTATGTACTCACTGGTGTGAGAAACAAACAGAATTATTGTCTCTGACAAACAGCTAAATCTATAAAGAGCACAAACTCTTCCACAAACTACTTCAGCAGTCCCTGGTCCTTTTTGTCACTATTTCCCTGGGTGGTTGTGTTTAGCACAGCTGTCCTTTAGTTATTTAGCACATGAAAGCCTTGCAAGTGAAATCAGGGAGTCTTGTAGATGCAGAAGTATCTCAAAGATGGATCACTTAAAGGACAGAGAAAAATACAGACCGGTGCTGTTGGTAACAAATACAGTTTTCTGCCCACCAGTTTATTCGATAATTACCTCATCTCAGTTTAACCACACTTTAAATATGCAGAAGAGGGTAACAGAGGGGTCAAGTGTTTTTTCTTTGCATAAGAAAGACTTCTTATTGACACTGATCAATGGCAGCTCACTGAAGAGGAGGTTTTGCCCCTAAATACAGTCCCACACAAGTGGCATCAAACTGACTGGGAATGATGTTCTTGGAAGGGAAACTTACTGGAAGTCATTCATGAGGGGAGGAAGGGCTGTTATATGCTCCACTAGACAGAGTTGAGAAGAAATTCTCCAGCTGTAGCGTGTGAGGACAATCATAACCAATTCAGCAACATACACAATATGCAACAATCTCAGAAAAGAGTAGTTAACAGTCTTTCCTTCCAAGCAAAATTAAGTGGCAATACAAAAAAAAAAAGGATCATGTTTTAGAGTCTAAAAATAAAACTTTGCAAAAAGAAGCCAAATATTTTTCTTTGAAATAAACAACCCAGAAAAAAAATCCAACTGCTCAGTACTTCATGGCTTCCCTCATTTCTCAACAGGATAAGCGTCTGACATGTAACGGTTTCTTGTAAACAACTTCTTTACTGTGGACAGCAGTTTATTTTCACAGTAGGATCTTCTCATTCGGCAACCAGTAATGATTTACTACCTGGGTCTCCATCACCATTAGCGAACATCACCATCAAATTAGTTCCTGCAACCAATTTGGAGGACTTTTCTGTTTATGTATACTGTACTCATAGTTTCATTAAAAATATATTTGAATATATTTTCTTTTTAAATTAAAATATATATTTTAATTTTCTCTTTCTCTGGTGACAAAACTAAAGCAAGCTTTTTGGTAACAATAATGGCAATACTGCAAGTTTCAGGGGAACATTTCATGGGAAAAAACTTAGGAACTTGAAAAACTACCAAATTTACCCAGGAAAGATTAGCTCTCCTGCTGAGTTTCTGATAGGTGTTACAGAAGGAGCCAACAGGGAAGTATTCATGGCTGTCATTCTCTTCTAGTTCCTGGCTCAAGTTGGAATAGAAGATGTTTCTGTCTAAGTTAGGTAACACCAGGCTCCAGGGATCATCTAGCGGCTAAAAATTAATGAACTGCAGCATGCTCTAACAATATTCCTTCCTGCCTCCATCATACGTGAGAAATTGTCACAAGGTTTATGTAATTGGAGCTTATTCTGATTATTAAAAATGGTTACAGAGGACTTGTCGTTCTCCATTTCCTTTGTTTCAAGGTAAAGAAAACAGAATAGAACAAGGATAATATACTACATTATTCACAGCAGTGGTCACACTAATGCTTCACACAACTTGTTTAGAAGCTGAAGGTCTGGTTGTTCCTACCACCAGTTAACAACCTTTTACTGTCAAGCAACTCTAGCATTATTTAAATTACAGCAACACATAAACCTGTGGCTTGACTTCAGCCTCACTAAAACGCAATCATATTAAATCAATGCCACCAAATCCAGCAACCCAGATCAGGTTTTTACTGGCTGTCCTGGTTTCAGCTAGGATAGAGTTAATTTCTTCTCAGTCAGTAGCTATTAGAGTGCTGTGGTTTGGATTTGGAAGGACAGTGGTGTTGATAACACACTGATGTTTTGCATTTTCTCTATGTCATGTCTGTCACATCTATCCTAAAACCAGGATCTTTTTTCTTGTCTCATGTTTGCTAGTGAGGAGGTATGCAAAAGGGAGGGAGCATAGCCAGGACAGGTGACCTGAACTGACCAAAGGGATATTCTAGACCAAGAACATCATGCCAGGTATAGAAACTGGGGGGAGTTACCCCTCAGCACTGGGGTCGATCTGGGTTCGGGAAGGGGGCTCTGGCATCGGTCAGGCCATGGTGAGCAACTGTATTGGGCATAATTCGTTTTCTCACTCATTAGTATCATCATTATCATTTCTCATTATAACTGTATTTTTACTTTATTTTCTATTATTAAACTGTTCTTATCTCAACCTACAAGTTTTACTTTGATTCTCTTCCCCATTCCACTGGATTGGGAGGAGGAGAGAGTGGCTGAGCAAATGTCTTTGTGGTGTTTAATTTCCAGCTGGGCTTAAACCACAACACTGGCCTATTCCAGTTATTCCAATATTTTACCAACAGTTGTTTTATATATTCTTACAGGAAAACGGTACATAGAAATTGGGTAACATTGAATAAGAAGTAATTAACATAATTATTTTTTAATTTACAAATTCAAA